GAGAGAGAGAGAGAGCAAGGGAAACATTGAGCATAGAGGGATCTTTTGTTCAAAAGTTGACCATCTCGGTCGAGCGCATGAAGCGAAATGATTGTGCGTTCGTATTTTTTCGTAGCTCGAACCTAAAAGTAAGGAGCCGAGCGAGTYCAAAGCTGTCTGGGGTRCTAAAGCCTYAAAAAAAGCGTGCAAAAAGCTTTCCACTAGTTGTCTAGTCTATGTGTTCTCTGGTTAGTGGTTGAACACAACTTGCCCTCAAATATATGTACATATGTACAAAATATTCGAATATTTTTACGTGACACGAACTTTAAATAGTTTCGTATGTGATCGTGCATGACAACAAACACGGAAACTTTTAAAGTTAGCGATAGATGTGTAAAACAATAGTAAATAATGCAAATATGAATACATATTTGATTCTGAAATATATAATGATTTTTTATGTATGTATATACTATCCTATATACATATATCCTAAATTTAAAGAAAATGTAAAAAATCAGTTAAAATAATGGCATATATTCATTATACATACATATATATTTCTTGATATTTTAGTTTATATACATATACATATACATATGTACATATATGAATATTTATATCGATCGTCTGCTTAATATTTGTTTTGCCTTGAGAATATAAATGGAGAAACACGCGCCCATCCCTAATTGATGCGTATATGTATGTATTTGTACAGTTCTCTGCCGGATGTTTCATGTTTTAATCAGTTTTCTTCTTCTTTGAATGTCATCCCTACCATCTCTTTCTCTCTCGCTCCCTCTGTATGTGTGCCAAGCAATTCAGATCCAATGACTTCTAGAACACGCGTGATACTCATAAAGAACATACATTTTCTATATTTCAATAAAAAAAAGAAAACAAAAAACAACGCAAACTAAAATTTAGTATATCCTCAACCCACAAAACAACACACTATTTTTCTTTCTCTCTCTTTCTCTTTCTTCTTACAGACCATGCATAAGGAAAAAGTTATAAGTACACAAAATGCAAATAAAGCAAACAACAAAGAGCATAAAATAAATGGAACAACTAAAGAAAGTAGTGATAAAACAGGTCAGTAATCTATCTATCAACAAACAATAAACAATTATTGAGTCATATAAATGATATATGTAAGTACATTCATATATTGAAGTACAATCGATCTTCAGTAAAAGTTTGTATTAAATTTTTGATTGATTGATTGATTGATTGATAACCTCAATCGATCACTTTTATAAGTTGAAATCCCTTTCAGATTACATATCTATATAGTGATTTCTATTGTATTTCTGCACAATGATTAATTAGAATGTTTGAGGATTGTTTTAGTTAGAGCGCGTATAGTTTGCAACGATTATAAATGGTACAGTTACGCCGTAATCTAACTAATTAGCAGGAAATAACAAAGCTATAGCGCAATCAATTGCGTAGGTCTACGCCCGATGTCTGTTTATAGCTAGCCAACGAACCCAACTGGATGGATTGGTAAATCAACCAACCAACCAACCCCCCCTACGGTTGACTCAGCATGTAGCTCCGTTTAGATTGCCCCTATCATAATTTTCTGGACGTTGACAACCCAAATCGCTTGGCAAATAACACCAGGCCCCGAATCCCTATTGTTGTTGACGTATAGACCAGTCTGCAGTGCCTGTTTAGTTATTTAGAGCTGGCACGTTTTGCCGGTTTTTATTTTATTTATTTTTTTGCCGGCCTTATATGTATGCATATATATATGTGGCGCTATCAGGGATACGCATTGGCATTCTCAACCAGACGCATAAATGGAGGTAACTGTGAGCACGGCTATACCCCGGACTCGGGTTCCGGGCAAAGTGTGAAAGTGTTTCGGCAGACCCCTTGTAGAGATAAGATAGGGCTTACTTTGTTCTTAAATATAAACACCAAACGATTCGGACACTTAAAATACAGACTTATAAGCATTGTGTACGACACTCAAGGTTTTTCAGTATCTGTATGATAATATCTAAAGAATCATTGAAATTGGCTACCCTGGAACTCGCAGCGTTTAATATTTGATAACGTTCTTAAAAAAAAAAAAAACAAGTAAGAAGACTCCAGTCGAGACGGCTCGACTAGGAGATACCCTGAACCCTCTAAGCTGATATTCTAATCATTCTGCACTTCTTTTATGCACACATACATACACATGCATCCACACGCACGCATAAGCCTGCGCTCTGCTAACTGCGCAGTAAGCAGCGACTGCGCTTGGGCTGCGCTGCAGTGTGGGCAATATTATGAGAATTTATTTGTTAAATAATTTCTTTTGTAGACATACGATCTTAATGAAACTTTTAGAGCGTAATCATATGGTGAATANCAAATTTGAAGACTCCAGGTCTAAAAATGTTCAAATTAGGCTAAAAAAACAAAATCAATTTTTCGATTATTCTCGATAAAAAAGTTATCGGACGATTTATCGAAAAAATAAAGCAAACTCGTACTGCGTATGGTACACACGAGTATGCATGCCAAATTTCAGCTCTCTAGCTCTTATAACTTCTGAGATCGACGCACTCATACGGACGGACGGACGGACGGACGGACGGACGGACGGACGGACGGACGGACGGACGGACGGACAGACGGACAGGGCTATATCGACTCAGCTCGTCACGCTGATCAAGAAWATAYATWCTTTGTGGGRTCTRCCACGCCTCCTTCTGCCCGTTACATACTTTTCACAAAACCATTATACCCTGATTTCCCATTTTCAATGGGTTCAGGGTATAAAAATCAAGGGTTGAAATACAATCCAAAGTTTGAAAAATCAGGATAAGGAAAGTATTAACTAGTAAGAGTACTCTACTTAACTAAGAGGTCCATGAAATCTGCAAAGAGCTCATACTCTAATCCCTTTACGATTCTCTTACGCACACATACATACGCATGTAATTACACACACGTACATATAGTCCTAAAGAGTTATATAACAAAAGAGACTGCTATCTATGCCATATACATTTTAAATATTAATTTGACAATGTATGTTCGTATGGCTTTCTGGCTCCTTGTCTATTTCACAGTCTATCTCTCTGCTTAACTCAAAAGATCATTTTATTTTTCTATATGTATGCAGGAGAATTCATTTCATATTTATATTTGAGTTACCCGAAGCTAGAATTCTTGCAGCAGCAGAGAGTTCCTATTGGTCACTTAAAGCTCGACTGTAACTCTTTGAGTGAATGTCGCCCCTTTATTATAGGGCAGCAGTTTCACTCGCCCAGTCCTGATGGGGGTCAGCAAGTATTAAAGACTGTTAGGAAATGCGCAGAAGAACTATTTAGAGGACATGCTTAAGGAAATACGTAAAAGACATACATAGAAAAACTATTTAGAGCACTTTCTTAGAGGAAATAATTGGTAAAACAGAGGAAGAACGTATAAGAAATGTCTAGAGAAAATACTTAAAGGAAGTATTCAAAGAAAATACTTGTAGAAAATACTAAAGTCCTATGACCCACGGAACAGAATACCAAATTAAATTAGTTTGCCATTTTTCACGCTTTATATATTTGGCTGCCTTCTATATGTATGTATATGTTTTATTTATTTTTGCTTGGAATATTGTTTCCTGTGATACATTCAGCGATGGTTTTTCATATCCGAATATTTACAGCAGCAAACACCTTTTGTATTGTATTGAAAAATTCGTATTAAGCTTAAGAGTTCGACTTGAATCGTCGTTAACTTATATCTCTTCACAACCTCTGAATTGAACATTTGCTCAAAGATCTAACCCAGCTCTTGTAATTTGATTTCGTTTCATATACACGCTGCACACTGCAGTCAGCCTGCTGAACAAGAAGGATGATAGCGCCGAGTATGACCTCGTGCCACCCGATGGCGGCTGGGGTTGGCTAGTCCTCTTTGGCGCATGCCTGACGAACATACTCATCCCGGGCACCATTAAGAGCTTTGGTGTCCTATTCATTGAGTTCTTGCAGGCCTTCGAGACGACGCAAACGCAGGCCTCCTGGATACCGGCATTATGCTATTTCCTTTACAGTTCATTGGGTGAGTACTAAGTGAGATAAATGTGTATCGAAATTCTATTCAACTTCATTTTGTTTCCTTTTAACAGGACCTGTCTCGAGTATTCTGTCTGTTAAGTATTCCTATCGCACGGTAACTTTGATCGGTGCGGTTTCCGCATCGTTGGGCATGATACTATCCTACTGGGCATCGTCCGTTGGCTACTTGTACATTAGGTAAGTTAATCCAGCTTCAAAATTAGTCGAAAAATATTAATATTTATAGAAAATAAATATAGATCTAAATCTAAACAATTATTGAGCCGGTTTAAACAAAACTCGTTTTGACGTAGGGGGTTCCGTTCAAGCAATTATCTTATAAAGATCAACTGATAAATTAGGGGGCTTACAACCTGTTGAAGGGGATTACTCAGATCACCAGACTTTAGCCGGCTATTTCATTAATTTTCTGCCTCTCTTTGCTCTTCCAGCTATGGCGTCTTGGTGGGCATTGGTGCTGGTCTTTCCTTTCCGCCCACTGTGTATATTGTGACATCGTACTTCGTGAAGCTGCGCGGCTTAGCCAACGGTCTTTGCATCTCTGGCAGTGCCATTGGCTCGATCATATTGCCGCCCGTGCTGCGCTGGCTACTGGAGACCTATGGGTATCGTGGCTCCTGCTTGATTATGGGTGGCATCACGTTAAACGTTTTGGTGGGCGCCTTGTTCTACGAGCCAGTGGAACAGCATATGATTCGCGTGCCGCGCGCTCGCCAGGCGCTGGAGGACATACCTGAGGAGGAGGACGTTGGCATTGTTATGAAGTTCGAGAATGTGGACGAAACGGCGCCAAATCAGGCTGAACTGGCCGAGAAGCAGCTGATGCCCTATAACTCGCCACCGTCGCCGCTCTACTTGCTGGACGATGACAAACAGCAGTTCGTGCGCAGCGCCTCGGCCGCTGTGGTTCAGAGCTATGCCAAGCCCGGCGATGAATTCCAGCCACGTGCCCGAAAGATCAGCACACCAGTGCGACTGCCACAACGCAACCAGACATTCACGCCCGGCCAATTGAACTCACAGTCATCGCTGTATGCAGTGCCCGAGGGCCGTTCCAGTTCCCACAAGCTGGCCATGCGCAACAGCTCGAGGAATCGGCTGTCCAAGCGCTCGCCTTCGACCAGCAGTTTCTTGTATATTAGCACACCATATCACGGCAGCACGTTGTCGTTCCAACCCAAGGAGTTCTCGTCGCATTTATCGTTGCGTTCGGCTGGCAGTGCGGCGGCTGAGGCGGCGCCACAGGACGCCGGTGGTGCTGATGAGACGGGTCAGGGCAAGGCGCCACAGAGCCAACGCAGCAAATTCTTCGATCTTAGCCTGCTGAAGGATCCCATGTACTTGGTCATACTCATCTCAAACTCAACGAATGCCATCAGCTACACGAATTTCATCATTCTGTTGCCGGCCTTTGGCCTGGCCAGAAACTTCGACAAATCCCTGTCCGCATACTTGCTCTCGGTGGTTTCGGCAACTGATCTAATTGGTCGCATCGGCGGCTCGGCGCTCTCCGACATGGGCTTCATACCCAAGACGTGGTACTTTGTTGGCGGCCTTTCCATTTCGGGCGTTTCGCTAGCCTTGTTGCCGCTGGCCTACAGCTACGGTGCCGTCTGCTTCTGGTGCGCCGTCTTTGGGCTTGCATCAGGCATTTATGTGGGTATTACGGCTGTCATCATGGCCGATATGCTGGGCACGGAGCGCCTGACCTCGTCCTATGGCATCAGCCTGTTCGTCAATGGCATTCTGCAGCTGGTGGGACCGCCGCTGTGCAATTGGTGGACCGAGGCGGTCAACAATTATAATCCGCTCTTCCATACGCTGGGACTGACACTACTTGCCGGCTCGGCCCTATGGGCCTTCATGCCATGGATACAGCGACGCAAAGCCAAAGAGGAGGAGAAGCTGGAGGCCCAACTAGACGAGGAGGCCATCGATGGCTACTAAGCCGTCCGGCTCTCACACCACGTACAATTACGATTAGTTCTTAGGCTTCAAATGCGTACAAAGAGAGAACGATAGAGAACTGAAAGAAGTTGCATCAGAATTGGGGGGGAATCAATGTATATCAGAATGGAAGAGTGTAGATCGAGGGATGGATTCACTAAGTTGTGGGAGGACGTCAAATGGCATTGGAAATTTTGGAAATTGTTAATTTGTTTCTTCCATTAGCTTTTTTGTCTAACTGTTAAGTCTTAATTATTAAATTGTATAATTATTACAATTATTGTTTACTTAAAATCAATTTATAGCTTAAGCTAATAACTAAATGAAAAATATCTAGAGCAGTGAAAACTTAAGATGTGAAAATATTTTTTCTATAAATATGCTAAAGAAAAAAATTTAAAAAAAAAAGCAGTAAAACCAACTGAAATATAAAAATGATTCAAAATGGATTTTAATTTGGGCCCTGGAGATGATAATTAAAATAGAGCTGTAATTTTTTCAGATCAATGAAAACTTAGATTGGGGATAAGCAATTTAATCTATTAAGATCAAATTCCATGAAATACGTTTTACATATTTTCTGGTGGAATATTTATTTGATTATATCAGCATAATTACACAATTTATTGACATGCAGAGCTAAACTATAAAGAATTTAAAGATTCTTGTCGTTGGTGACAAAAGTTGTATATAAAATATAGATTGCGTTCGTATATGGCACTAATTGCTCTTAATTTTCGATTTCAAGAATCCCTTGGAGCGCAGCAAACGCACAATGAATGGCGCCGAGCCCAGCGTGATGCTAATCCTAAGCGGAGCGAAGACTTTGTGAACGGCATAGGCCGTGACAAAGGTGCTGCCCACGGCTAACTTTTCCGCAAATGCTGATGACTCGATTCCAAGGAATTCCATCACGGGCATCATATTTATTCCGCTGCAAACAAGAAGAGAGCAGTTTGGGGATTAAATTAGAATTGGTTAAGGTGGATGCAGAGCAGGCGTTTAGTTTTGGATGCGGTTACGAATGGATGAGCGCATTCCGTTAGTTGGTCATACCTGGAGACTAGCACGTAGAAGCCACCTAGAGAGAGCAGCGAAATGCCCACATGGAATACCACAATGGTTGCGCCGTACTCCTTGAACACTTTCTTCAATTGCTCCTTCTTGCTCAGCTGCTCAGGCGCAGGCGTTGTGGTTGCTGTGGACGTTGAGGGCGCTGCGCTTCCTGTTGTTGCTGCTGCTGCTGTTGGTGGCTGTGCTGGCTTTGCTTGTGTGCTGTAGCAACGCCGAAAGCCTACGAAATTCGAGCAATGCATATGATATGGGATGCGAATGCGTGTTAGCTAGAGCTAGAGCGCATGCGCGCGACATGCAACAGGTTTAGTAGAGCACGCGCAACACGTGTCACCTATACGTCAACAGCTGCTGTCTATCCTCACCTTGGCTGTGGCCCGCCACTGGCATCGTGGCATTCTGATCGTAGGTCACCCAATCAGCGCGCGTGATGTCGCGCAGTGAACGATAATGCGAGCTGTGCATGTTCTGCGAGGTGAACTTGTACTCCTGCGACCACTGCCCACCCGGCATATTGAGATGCGAGAACTTGTGCATGCCGCCGAACGGGGTCGGCACATTACTCTGCATCACCGCATTGAGGCTGACAGCGCCGAAGCAATCGTAAGACTGCACATGCGGATCCTGCAGAGAAGAGCTGTCCTGCGATATGTTCATGGTGTTGTCAGTGGTAATATCGATTGTCGAGATGGGAGCGTGTGACATGGTCATGATATTGTCGGACATATCCCTGGAACGTTGCGGGGAAAAGCGCGTCGTTTCGGCAGCGTCCACATTGTGGGGCAGCGGCAGGGCGGGGGCCGGCTCAGCATTGTTAAGCACCTTGGAACTGGTGTGAAAAGGTTGAAATGCTGCATACAAAAAGAGTCTTATTAATGCTATATTAAAATAACAATATATGAGAAAATAAATTGCGCAGTTGGATAGACGCCCAGGGTGCAAAATCCAACTGGAATTAGCTTTCACTTTCATACATACATACATATGCAAATATACATGTATGTATGTATGCATGTACATATATTTTTATGAGTGACAGTGAAAGAATCGCTTATTGCGCGCAAATTGAATTAAATCTACATAGGCTATTATCTGCAGACCCATCAACCATTGCAAAATGTTCTTCGCAAATGGATTTTAATCAATTTAAACTTAATGACCTCTAACGCACTGAATTTTTCAATAGTTACCTGTATATTTTTTCATATACTGCATACCGCCTGACAGACGCGCAGCATAAAGCAAAGATACTTTGCCTGTATTAATAATCATATTTAATAAACAATATTTTCCACAATTTGTTGATATCGACTAAACCACAACTTCACAGCGACTAAGCAAAATAGACCAATGAGCAGCAGGCACTAGAGCTGTATGTGTGTTTGTTATTATTGTGTTAACTATAAAAACAGCTGTTTGCAACAACAGGGTTGCTTGTAACTACGAATATCGCATGTGAACTATCGGTTATGATTTTCGATAGAGTATGAACAAAATATCGAGTGTGTGACATCGTGAATACAACCCTATCCATTCTTTTGGGAGTGAAAATGCGAATTTATTTACAAAATTTGCCAATACGAGAAAAAGAAGGCGTCGCGTAATAAAGGAGTTCAATAATTTGTCATCAAAGCGATTAGCATATGTTGTAGTGGCTGCAAACTGTGAAAGTGTGTGTGTGTGCAATGCCCGCGGAGCGAAATACACAGAGGAAGAGCGCGGCGATGCTTTTGTGGTCAAGATATGATTTGGCTACAACTACGACGTCCAAACAACGACCAAAACAATAAACCCCCGAGACCAGGCTAATTTTAGCGAGTGTGCAACAAGAACAATAACAGTATCAACATACAAAACGGGAGACAGTCAACAGCAGCAACAACAACAACAATAATAATAATATCAACAACTGAACGTACAGCGCGCGCTGTGTGTGTGTGTGCTGTGTATGTGTGTGAGTTTGTGTGTGTGTGTGCCTGTGTAGAAAGTGCGCACGTCAGGCGTTGGCTGTCGTCGCAGTCACAACCATGTCCAGAATTACGTTGACCACGTTAACACATAGTGGCGGCATCACAGGCGGCAGCAGCAGCGGCAGCAACAACAACAGCAACAACGATACACGCACTGGAACGCTGACCCACCTGATGGAGGAGCATCATCACCACCATCATCATCATCAGCAGACAGTGAGCGGCCGAGGGACAACATCCAGCTCTACCGGACTGATATCAGACGGAGCGGAAAGACTGCGACGGCAAGGGAGTCGATTGCAAACGTCACGATTCGCCTGCATGAGATGCTTTGGTAACCTCCTGACCCATCTGGTGAGGCTGCGCAGCACGCCCGAGGAGCTAGAGCAACGCTACAAATCCAAAGAGATTGATAAGTTTCTGGAGAAGGAGAAGCATACGTTTCGACGGCAGGTAAGATTGAATTTAAGAGAAGCACACAACGTTTCCACATTCCGTTTAATTAAGTAATTAGTATTAATTTGCTTGGACCCACACGCACACATGCACAAACACTCTCTCACGCACACACACGCACAAGCACAAGACACAACATTCATCCGGTTGTATAGCCCGCATGGGCCGCCCAGGCAAACAAATGAAACGGCAGACGAATTTTCACTTTTCGTTCGATGTTGTTGTTGTTGTTGCTGATGTTGGTATTGGGCTTGGCACTGGGGTTTTTTATTGTTGCATCATTTAGGCAATCATTACAAAAAGTCTTATTCACACAAAAGGCATTCAATTAACAACTTCTTTGTGTGTTGTCCGCTGGCTGCAGTTGATTTTCTTGCGCGTGCGTGCGTGTGCCTGTGTGCATGTGTGTGTGTGTGTTTCTATATCGGTCAAGGTTTCAATTTCGCACACTCAACTTTGCAGGTTAAGCTGCTGCTCCTGGGCGCTGGCGAGTCAGGCAAATCCACCTTCCTCAAACAGATGCGCATCATACACGGCGTCAACTTTGATCCGGAGCTGCTGCGCGAATACCAACATGTGATATACCAAAATGTTATAAGAGGTAGGTGCTTCAATATACATAGTAAATAATTACATATCAATTAATTGATTTCGCCTTGCAGGTATGCAAGTGCTCCTCGACGCGCGGGAAAAGTTGGATATTCCCTGGGGCAGCGATGGACGAGAACAGGATGCCAATGACGCCAAAGCAATGGAATGCAATGCAATAGAGGCAGCCAGATTCGTGGAATATGCGCCGCTCATACGCCGCCTTTGGCAGGATCGTGGCATAAGGCGTGCCTACGAACGACGACGCGAATTCCAAATTGTAAGCTGTCATCTAAATCCTTACTCTGGATTCAGAATGGCATATTTATATATCTGTTGATCAGCATCAACTTAAAAGTTAGAGAGTCCAAATATTTCCCTTTTGTGCCAAAAGCTAATCGAGGATTTTAAATATTTCGTATGCGGAGTTAGAAGAAATAACGTTAGTAAATGGATTATATTTTGCACAGACTTTGCAAGCTACTGAGATTCCGAATTCTTCAACTATTGTCCATAAATATTAGCGTTAAGACCTAGCATGTTTTTATTTAAAACAGTCAAATCTATTTACTAAATAAATTCAAATAATTATAAACAACGCAACCAACTGCGCAAACTATGTAAATAGTATTTATATATTATGTAGTTGCTTGCTTTGTTTATAATTATTTATTTATTTAGCACCGCTTCCCCAAAATTAAATCAAATTGTTGATAAAATTTGAATACAAGAAATTTTATGCATACGTAATTTTTATTAACATTTCTTGGCTCTTAACACTTAAGCTCGGGATAGATTGAATAGACTTGAACTACTGTAGTTTCTCTAAAAATATAAAATTTGGTATATCTATAAATAACTTTACTTAGACGCTGTTTGATGTGATAAACTAAGAGTTTACCAGTTTACGCTACGTTGTATTTCATAAAATTAGTGTAAAATAAGTAATAGATCTTATGACTTGGATTTCTGTTGCGCATCATTTCTATATTTATTTCTATAAACCTTTTTTCAAACACTTTACATACATAGTATAAACAAATTTATATATGTTGCAGAGCGATTCGGTCAGCTATTTTCTAGACGAAATTGAGCGGCTGGCGAAACCGGATTATGTGCCCACACACAAAGACATACTGCACTGTCGCAAAGCAACCAAAGGTGTCTACGAGTTTTGTGTCAAAGTACAGGTGAGCTGCAATTGTGGCGTAGATTTGATTGCTTTGTAGTATTTCCATTTTTTTTAATGGTGCATTTCGGTTGCAGAACATTCCATTTGTGTTTGTGGACGTGGGCGGACAGCGCACACAGCGTCAAAAGTGGACCAGATGCTTTGATACCTCGGTCACATCGATTATATTTCTAGTATCCAGCTCAGAGTTTGATCAGGTGCTTGCCGAAGACAGGTGAGTGGGAAATACTGAAATGTGAGAGCGGGTGCTAAGATGTTAATGTGGATTTGCTTGGCTTTGCAGGAAAACCAATCGCCTGGAAGAGTCCAAAAATATTTTCGATACCATTGTGAACAACAACACGTTCAGAGGCATTTCAATAATATTGTTTCTAAACAAGACCGATTTGCTCGAGCAAAAAGTACGAAATCCAGAGACTGATATACGCTGGTACTATCCGCAATTTAATGGCAATCCGCATTCACTGCTGGACGTCCAAAACTTCATGCTGCAAATGTTCATGAGCGTGCGCCGCAGCACCAGCACCAGCCGAATCTATCATCACTTTACCACTGCCATAGACACGCGCAACATCAACGTGGTGTTCAATTCGGTGAAGGACACGATACTGCAGCGGAATTTAAATGCCCTGATGCTGCAGTAGCATCAAAGCAAGGAAGCATAGAGGCGACGGCGACGGTCGCAATCATATCACAATCTAACGAATCTCACGCCAGCTCTGACACACATACCACATACATCCAAAATCAAATCAAAACAAAAATATATATATGCCTATATATATTTATATATATATATTGAAACACACATATATAGATAACGAAAGTGCCAGGCTGTCAGGAATGTAATATTTTGTGAAGGGCCGACCCTATTAATTTTTAGCATTTACATGTATTTTATTTATGCATAAATGTATATAATTTATTGTGTATGTGTTCGTGTGTGGCCTGCTAACAGACTCTAATGCTAGCCAAGAAACTAATCCAACAGCTGCAGCTACAACTCTTCTATCTATTATATTATATTATTAT